AGTATTTGGAAGTCAGATTGATCGTAACGAGGCATTCTAGTATCAGATTGATAACTCAGACGAGCCAACATGATATAAAGACGCGCGCTTATAGTGCCCAACCTGAAACAGTAGAAGTTTCACCAGCAGTGCTCTCAGCCCGCTCCAACGCAAAGCTGATATCATCACGATTGCTGAATTTATCCAACCCAAACTCAAGCTGTGATTTCTTATCAAACGTCACGAAAGCAACTCGTATTCTCTTTGCGTAATCCTCTACCGAAGCACTCTTTACCAAATCTTCAGCAAATTTCTTGGCTGCATCAAAATTTTCAACCACCGATGAGGATTTATCCAACACCAGCACAAGATCGATTACATCTGAAAAAAAAATTTTTTTCGGGGAGAATGAGTCGAAATCCTGAATGATGGGTTTCATCTTGAGAAACAAGTAAGAAGTTCAGATCCGCAAGCGGCTTGCTCGAAACTATTGGCGATCAAGTCAACTGACCACAAAAATTTGTCGTCAGTTTTCGTAATTTGATCCAGTGGTTTATCAAAATCTCACCTTTGCATGCATCAGCTTTGCTTTCGTTCACTTTTTTAGGTGACTCTTGTGCAACTTGTTTCTTCTCTCCTGGACAGCCACTCAGCTCATTAGCTGAAAAACATCTTCTTAATCTCGGAGGCATCATAAAGGACTAGAAAAGAGCGATATAAAGTGATAATGAGCCTTATAAAGTAACACTTTCGTAATGTCTGCATAAAATGCTTGTAGATTTCATGTGAAACAGCGATTCGTATGTGAGAATGCGATTCTCATTTTCAAAGCGATTCTAAGTTTACTGACCAGCATCGTTGATGAATTTCCGTGCACGAGCATCCACGAATACTCGCCATTTGTCTCCGGCGAATTGCCGCAGCTCATCAAACGAGTAATTTTTCGAGAATGTTACAGCATACACGGCTGTATTCGGAAGTGAACGGAGAGCACTGCAAGAGGGATGGATTCATTGTTCGATGCGACTGATCGTGAGTGAAATAACGCGATATTGAATAATTTATCGTTAGTGTTTGCAAAAAGTCATTTGCTGTATATCTGAAGATCTAACAAGCAATTTGGTTTTATCTAAATGATTCATTGTTTGAAAGGATGCAATCTCTCACTTTGATTGTGCAACAACATTTTTCCATTGATCCTGACTGTTGCCATCCGATATGAGTACAATCATTAGGTTGGCGCTAGGTCTTCGAGTTGAATGAGCTAGCTGAAACATTTGAATACTTGAAAATGTAACTGGTAGAGATAACAATATCAAACTTTAAAGGATTCCAATTCATTTCAATGTGCTTCATAAAAACAATTAGAGCTGTGTGTACCTTTGTGGCCATTGATATACCAGAAACTGCCGATGTTTCACCACCAGTATGCTCAATATCCAACAACTTGCTGATGATATCCTCTTTGCTAGCGTTTGCGCCGAATTCGAATTCCACTTTAGCCTCCTGAACCCAATATGCGTCAAACATGAACATAAGGATTGTACACTACATTTATGATCGTCCTCATGACATTT